ACCCTTTTGAAAATTTAAAATAAGGGATTGTAAAGTCCCATGGAAATTAGGTTAATCAATAAAAACAATTAGGGTTTTTACATTGTTAATAAACAAAATACCAAACTATTAAAAAACGTTAAAATTTTAAATTTACCAAATAGTTTGTTTCCATAGCAACCATTTCAAAATGTGTTAAAATTCGAAAATGAAAAATTTCAAAAACTCCTAAATTTTAAATCTGTTTATCTCCCAAGACCAACAATACCATGATATTTCATTGACAAATTTTGAAAAACATCGTTCCATATATTCATAAAATAAAAAGAAAGTCGTGTGGTTTTTTTTCTTTAAAAAAATAATTTTAGTCGAAAATTGTCAATTTTCACCAAAATTCAGATTGCCAAACAGATGAATAATCAAACATTTTGAACTTAAAAAGCTAAATCATTCCATTTATATGTGCATTTTTGACACAAATTTAGTAATTATAAATGAGAATATATTATTGATAGCGATATGTTGGTAGAGAATGAAACTTTTCTCTCTGGGCATGGTGCCCCCCCCCTTTTTTTTTTTAAAAAATCATTTTTTTTAAATTATAAAATTTTATCAAAAAATAAAAGAAAGATGGTATTAAATTCTGAACATTTTGAGCATTGAAGCATGAAATTTCTTCAAAGGCTTAGGGCAATGATAGTACCTCCTTCCCCATATTTAGATATTAGATTTTTTTCAGAAATGGGGAATGTGTCAAAGAGACAACAATTTAACCAAACAACAGAAAACAGCCGAAAGGCTGATGACTGAATGAAGGATTGCTGCGTCCCTAAATACATGAAATACACTTGTTTTATGCAAATTGAAATTTTTAGATGTTATTTCATGGTCTTGAAAATAAGCCTCTGTCCAAGTTTTATTTCAGTCTATGTCAAAAAAACTTAGTCTCAGACTGTCTTTAAATTTTAACTCTAAATAAGAGGCTCTCAAGAGCCTGAATCGATCACCTGTAATTTTTTGGTTAAATCTTTCATCAATAATTATTAATGCTTTTCAATATATATCAATGAGTGGCTTAAAAATTCCATTTAAATGTTCTTTGTATCTGTCATATTTTCTTCAAAAGCAAAAAAATGCATTTTACCCCTATGTTCCATTTTAGCCATAGTGGCTATGTTCCTTGAATTACAAGGAAATAAAATACAAAATTTATACTAAATACTCCCAAGTTTGGCTGAAATTGATTCAGCAGTTTCAGGAGAAGATTTTTAAAGTAAGCAAACTAGATGAACAAATTGTGAAAAAATTCTTTGAAGGGCAATAACTCCTTAAGGGGTCAATTGACAATTTTGGTTATTAAACTTATTTGAAGATCTTACTTTGCTGAACTTTTTTGCTGTTTACAGTTTATCTTTGTCATTAATAATATTCAAGATAATAAACAAAAACTGAAAAATTTCCTTATAATTACCAATTTAGTCGCAGCAACCCAACAATGTGTTGTTAGATTCATCTGAAAATTTTAGGGCTGATAGAACTTGACCTAATAAACATGTTTACCTACACCAGATTTGCTGTAAATGCTTTAGTGTTTGAGATGTAAGCCAAAAACTGCATTTTACCCCTATGTTCTATTTTTAGCCATGGCGGCCATGTTTTTTGACACAATAAAAAATAAAACACAAACTTTATTCTAGATATCCTAAGGATCATTCAGCTTAAGTTTGGCTGGAATTGGTTCAGTGGATTCAGAGGAGATGTTTGAAATAGTTAACACCGGACCGACGACGACGGACGCCAAGTGATGGAACGGTGAACTAAATACTACGTCCGTTCTATCAGAAATATACTGAAAATGAAAAAAAAACAACTTGTACCCTCGAAAGCGCTAACGAGGCCACTTTCCATAAATTTAATATTTTTAGGTGTAATAACTCTTAAATAGTCGATTGGCCACCAATATATGACATGTTTGAGATGTTGCTTATATTAATCTAAAGTATTAGTTTCGTAAAAATCTGAGAAGATTTGTACATGTGAGAGCGCTGCAAGGACCGGACAGACAGACAGACAGACACACGGACAGCCAAAAAATCGGTCTTTTGTCTTAAATCAGTGGGTTTGATAAGAAAATAACACTCTGTAAAAATTAGACCAATGGGACAGTTATTAAGTTTGGTACAGTGTTCCAATTTCATTATATATGGAAAATTTAATACATTGCCTTGTATTCGTTTCTTTTGTTGACTAGTATACTATTGCGCAGAGTCAGATTATGTACACATAATGGCTGTTACTATTTACCTCCCATGTAATTCGACATGTATCGAAACCTTTATGCAAACACTTATTTGTCACTATGTCGATTTAACTGTGTCAAAATTGAAATTGAAGAAGAACTACAGAACCGTTCTTTCTATTCTAATATATATAATGAATCTAACTTATGCAAAAGAGCTTGAAGTAAATGCGGAATGTGTCCAGTGGACACAGATGATGCTCCCGCTCGCATATCATAAAAGTTATAAATGGACATAACTGAAGAACGGTAAAAGTGACACTAACCAAATGTGTACTTTATGTAAGTTTTGTGGTCATAAGTTTTGTGTAAAAGTTTCATAATATTTGGTTAAGGCAAACTAAAGAAAGAAAAAAGAAACGAAAAATTCAGCAACTTTTTCCCTTTGTAAAGAGGCATGGCTCTAGAACAGTAAAAGTGACACTTGTACTGTTAATGAGTTATGCCCCTTTAAAAATGGAAAAATTGCTGAACTTTTCGTTTCCGTTCTCTCTCTTTCGTCTGTCTGACATAGTTCATCTTACCCTGACCTCATTTTCTTAGAACATTGATAATGTTAAGTTAATATGATACTTGTATTAAAATCTTTATATAACAGAGTTTCAAAAGTAATTCATTGATAAATAAAACCAACCAGACATTTCAGGGTGTGCATTCTTGTTTAGCAGATCTTAGTCTAGGGCAATTTTTTTTAAATTGTTCATTAAGATTTGTTTTACAGACACTCATGTAATGCTCATTGTTGAAGGCTGTACGATGACCTGTGGTTGATCATTTCTATGTCATTTGGTCTCTTGCGGAGAGTTGTCTCATTGGCAATTACAACACATCCTCTTATTTTTATGCATAGACTTAAATGTTTTTGGAGTTCAATATTATTATTCTTTTTCACTAACAGCATCAATCCCAGGCACGACAACGGGTTATGCGTATTACCATTTTTTTCAAACTTCTGAGAAATCTTACATATATCTATAGAAGTAATGTTATGCTTAAATTCTTAAAACGCTTAGTTCACAAGTAAACACAATAAGATTCCACATTTTTTTCAACAAATTTTATAATTTTGAAAAAAATGATTTTTTTCCAAAAAAAAAAAAGGGGGGTGCACCATACCCAGAGTGATGAGTTTTCGTTTTGTACAAGTATATCTTCATTAATCATATATTCTAGTTTAAAGTTAACAAATGTGTGTCAGAATTGCACATACAAATGGAATATTTTAACTTTTTAAGTTCAAAATGTTTGATTATTCATCTGTTTGCTAATCTGAATTTTGGTGAAAATTGACAATTTTTTACTAAAATTATTTTTTTAAAGAAAAAAAACACGCGACTTTCTTTTTATTTTATAAATATATAGAATATTGTCTTTCAAAATTTGTCACTGACATGTAATTGTATTGTTGGTCTTGGGAGATAAACAGATTTAAAATTTAGGAGTTTTTGAAATTTTTCATTTTCGAATTTTAACACATTTTTAAATGGTTGCTATGGAAACAAACTATGTAGTTAATTCAAAATTTTAACGTTTTTGTATAGTTTGGGGTTTTGTTTGTCAATACTGTAAATATACTTATTGTTTGTATTGATTAACTTTATTTCAATGGTTCTTTAAAATCCCTTATATTTCAATTTTCAAAGGCTACTTTTTTACGTATTTTTAGCAAAATTTTGTAAGGATGGTTTCCATGGCAACCAAGGTTCAAAAGAAAAAAATTAATATATGAAACTTATTTTCATACCATACCTTCTTCATAAACAAAATATAAAGACATTTGAAGAGAGGTCATGAATCGCCCATCAACAGGAACCTGCATGATTCTTACAAAGACAGGTACTTAAACATGCATAACTGGTCACAGAAAATTGTTTTTATTTGTACAGACTATATAGAAAATGCATGTCATCAATTCATTATCATAATGGCTATTTATATAAAGTTGTAGTTTGGCTATGCACACACTTTTCCATTCCAAAGCATACAAAAACGTTGATACAATACAAGGAAAATCGAGAAATTTACAAATATCACGGTTACATTCTGGGGAATTCGTGAAATGTGAATTGAATTAATTTAAAATGATTACCTTGAAACTTGGCAATGCCGTTTTAATTTAAGGCATTAATTGTAATTTTCAATTCTACACAACATTTGAACGCAATACCCGATCCAGCTTTTAATTAAAGGACCGTTATTTTGTTTATACATCAATGAGACAATAATGATCGATAGGTAAATATTTAAAGCTTTAACAGGTTTATTAAAAATATGTCAAACTTTAAACCACGACAAGAAGATAGGACAAGAGACAATCGCTAATGATGTACTTGACAGGAACATGGATAAGATGTTTTAAAAACACATTGATCAGCAGTTGATTTGGGACCCAATTTTTGGCTCGTTTTCTGCATAGGAAAAGGAACTGCCCACATGTCTGAATTCACTACATTTTTGGGGGTAGTGGCACTTATTTTACATTTTGTGTCTAGTGTTGAATTGTCTCCATGTACACTATATATCATTATTTTGTTTCGACCTCCCATTTAATATCTTAAATATTGATCATAGTACATATCTACACATACATTCATGTGTGGTTACTTATCTTGAGCATAATTTTGACGTATTCTAACAAGAGTGATACATTATGAACTTAATTCGAGAAACATATTATGTGTACACGAAAATCATATCTCTTAGTTTGTTAACTTAAACTAACATGAAATATTTCTGGCAGCATTCTTTAAAGCTATCTGCTGGACAATTACTATATCCTATACAGGCATCAGCACAGTAGTCCCAACCTGTAAAATTATCAATTGGGTTTTAAGTACATATTTTCTCAATATTACAAACAATAGATATTCAATTTTTAGCAAAGCATATTTTTACTGTTTAACTTTTCATCTTTCATCTACTGTTATGTCTATCGTTCTGCGACTAAAGGTTTTTAATTTCCCTTTCATGTAATTTCATTTTTGTTAACAAAATTGCTCTGACGAGCGAAAACCATTTTACGCCGTGTTCTTAATTCTATCAAGTAAATTTTATAACATTAAAGGTACCTGTTTTTACTGCTTCAGATGCTCATTTCTACAATTAATATCTCCTCAATGATATTGGAGACCATAAGATTTGAAAATCCTAAATCGAAATACATTTTTGGAGAGCTATTATAATCGAAAATGACCATTAGTATAGCCAAACCAGAGATGCATTTTATTTTTATTCAAAATAATGTTCTAAAAAATAAAACTACAGCAAATTTCAATAAAAAACAATACATCCATACCGTCATGCAGTACAAAACTATTAAGCTTCCGGGTTGAAGAAACCCTCGGGGACTAGCCAACCAGTAGACGTATCACATAAACGTTTTTTTTTTCAAACGTCCATGCGTAAACCCGATAAAATAGGATAGGTCATGTTATTCTCAGAATCCTGATTAGAGGATAGAAGTTATCGTAATCATCTTCTTTTTTTTTCTTAACATCCCATGGCTGATGATCCCTTGAATATTTTGCACTTATTAAAGTGAAAGTAGAATTGTGAAGTGCATGTAGTCTGATGAACATATACATGATTATTTTTTTTGTTAACAAACTTAATCTGACGTATAACATTTGATGCCAAGCTGTTAACCCTATCATGATTTCATTGTGTATCTTACTTAATTTACTAGACGTAATAACAATTAACAGTTGTACCAGTTTTTAGTTGCCTTATGCTAGCACTCTAGATTTGCCTTTTTCTCAACGAATGCTGAATTGGATGCCACTGTTATTATCTAGCAGGGTAATAGGTTATTTATAACTAATTGGACACTTTTTTCATACTTAAATTCTGGAATACAAAAGATATGGCCAGAATTACCTTAAATGATCGTCGAACAACGTAAAATAATTGACGTTGCACATAGTGCTCAATAGAAATCCGAACATTGTGTATTATCCCCTGTGCTTTTGGTAAGATGTCAAAGAACAATTGTATGAAATATTTCATCGCCGAAAATTTCTTAATACAAGTCGTTTACATTGGCCAAATGGCAACAGGCCGCAGGAATATTGTTTGGCGGGAATTTTAACCTAGAAGACGAAACGTAAATATCAAGGATTTATAACTAACGTCCGTGTAAATTTGGAGGATACTGATGATATAAAGGTAAGTATTATTAATCATTTAATTCCACCTTATATAACAATGCTATATTTTGATTGGACAAGAGACATGGTATTTTTCACCAATTTCTATGTATTAAGATTTTCTTTTTTCTGCCCGTGTATTTGTCATTAGGGAATTCCATGTGCCGCGGTATTTGCTAGCAAATACCATGGCAGATTGAGAATACCATGTCTAAAAATAACCCAGTGAATTATTTTTATTCTAATAGGACAAATTTATGGTTATTATTTATACACTGCAACTCCTACAACTGTTCCAAATGAAATATTTAGGATAAAAAACATCATTATTGAATTTGGAGCGAATGACGTAAAAATTCCGCGAACCTGTACTTTTAATGACGTCATAAATAAAACTCAACGGAAACGCATTGTCAACGTCATAAATAAAGAGATATCTATACGGTCAGTAACTGTACATCAAAAATGATCAGAAATTATTATACGGCTAATGCAATTTGACTGCGCAAATAGCACAGCTGCAGTATATACAAAAATTATACAGTCAAGTAGAAACTCCATATGATACCTGATTACAATAAAATTTCTGAGGTCAAGATGGATACAAAGAACATTCAGTGGAATTAAACAATTATATCATGCTTACAAGGGGTATTTGCCAAAAATACCGGTTTCTAGGTAAACAAATTTCCCTCGCCTAACGGCTCTAGAAATTTGTTTACCTCTCAACCGGTATTTTTTGGCAAATACCCCTTGTAAGCATGATATATTTGTATAATATTCTTTTTGTTTGTTTTGTTAGCGATAAATGTGGTTATTTAATTGATCTTAATTAAATGTATGCACATTTGAATTCCTTCGAAGTTCCTATTATGTTATTCCGTTTATTTATAACTGGCTTCAAGTTAGGTCAAATCAAGTTGTTGTTATATATATATGAAATAAAAAGAGAGATGTGATTGGTCGATGTAAAGGTCAATGAAAAAATGGACATATCAGATCGTTCGTTTCATTTTATTCATTACAAGGTGGGTTCTATCAGGGTTTGAGGATTGGTATTCAATGGGAAAAAATCGAAAAGGATAGAAATAAGAATGTTCAATTGCTATGAAGGTAGGTTAATTTTATATACCTTACATGTTAAAAGCTAGCAGTTGCGTCAAATTCAGTATATGTATGTCCAAAAAACTTCCAGTCAGATGATCCACCATGTAGCAAGTGTCTGACTTTAAAATTTCAATGTTTATGTTATGTTTTCAAACCAGAACTTTGTTATTCCTTGGCCTAAAATCGTTGTTTCTGACTCATTTTAGGGAACAAATATAGATCTTTCAAGTAGTTTAAAGTCCGAGAATGATCGACGAACCGTTTATATTTTTTTTACTCGGAACTACCGGTTATTATTTTCCAAACTTTGTATGGAGCACAGGCACTAGACGTTCTATCATAATAATAAAATATTTATAACAGCAATGTATAATTAAAACAACAGTAATACAGTACTGGGATACTGGGGTAGTGAAACCCTCAGGGACTAACAGTCAACTAGCATGCTTATCATGCAAAGCGTTTATGATTATGTACCAAAATCAGCCTTTTTACATTAAACTCCTTGTTAAAACGTTCTCCCCTACCACCCATTAAATGATGATAGGTTTTGTTATTTTCAACACGTTCTCCCCTACCACCCATTAAATGAGAATAGGTTTTATTATTCTCAACACGTTCTCCCCTACCACCCATTAAATGAGGATAGGTTTTGTTATTCTCAACACGTTTTCCCCTACCACCCATTAAATAAGGATAGGTTTTGTTATTCTCAACACGTTCTCACCTACCATCCATTAAATGGGGATAGGTTTTGTTATTCTAAACACGTTCTCCCCTACCATCCATTAAATGGGGATAGGTTTTGTTATTCTCAACACGTTCTCCCCTACCACCCATTAAATGAGGATAGGTTTTGTTATTCTCAACACGTTCTCCCCTATCACCCATTAAATGGGGATATGTTTTGTTATTCTCAACACGTTCTCCCCTACCATTCATTAAATACGGATAGGTTTTGTTATTCTCAACACTTTCTCCCCAACCACCCATTTAATACGGATAGGTTTTGTTATTCTCAACACATTCTCCCCTACCACCCATTAAATGGGGATAGGTTGTGTTATTCTCAACACGTTCTCCCCTACCATCCATTAAATGGGGATAGGTTTTGTTATTCTCAACACGTTCTCCCCTACCACCCATTAAATGAGGATAGGTTTTGTAATTCTCAACACGTTCTCCCCTACCACCCATTGAATGGGGATAGGTTTTGTTATTCTCAACACGTTCTCCGGGATCCCCTACCACCCATTAAATGGGGATAGGTTTTGTTATTCTCAACACGTTCTCCCCTACCATCCATTAAAAACGGATAGGTTGTGTTATTCTCAACACTTTCTCCCCAACCACCCATTAAATAAGGATAGGTTTTGTTATTCTCAACACGTTCTCCCCTACCACCCATTAAATGGGGATAGGTTTTGTTATTCTCAACACGTTCTCCCCTACCATCCATTAGATGGGGATAGGTTTTGTTATTCTCAACACGTTCCAAAATCAGCCTTTTTACATTAAACTCCTTGTTAAAACGTTCTCCCCTACCACCCATTAAATGATGATAGGTTTTGTTATTTTCAACACGTTCTCCCCTACCACCCATTAAATGAGAATAGGTTTTATTATTCTCAACACGTTCTCCCCTACCACCCATTAAATGAGGATAGGTTTTGTTATTCTCAACACGTTCTCCCCTACCACCCATTAAATAAGGATAGGTTTTGTTATTCTCAACACGTTCTCACCTATCATCCATTAAATGGGGATAGGTTTTGTTATTCTAAACACGTTCTCCCCTACCATCCATTAAATGGGGATAGGTTTTGTTATTCTCAACACGTTCTCCCCTACCACCCATTAAATGAGGATAGGTTTTGTTATTCTCAACACGTTCTCCCCTATCACCCATTAAATGGGGATATGTTTTGTTATTCTCAACACGTTCTCCCCTACCATTCATTAAATACGGATAGGTTTTGTTATTCTCAACACTTTATCCCCAACCACCCATTTAATACGGATAGGTTTTGTTATTCTCAACACATTCTCCCCTACCACCCATTAAATGGGGATAGGTTGTGTTATTCTCAACACGTTCTCCCCTACCATCCATTAAATGGGGATAGGTTTTGTTATTCTCAACACGTTCTCCCCTACCACCCATTAAATGAGGATAGGTTTTGTAATTCTCAACACGTTCTCCCCTACCACCCATTGAATGGGGATAGGTTTTGTTATTCTCAACACGTTCTCCCCTACCACCCATTAAATGGGGATAGGTTTTGTTATTCTCAACACGTTCTCCCCTACCATCCATTAAAAACGGATAGGTTGTGTTATTCTCAACACTTTCTCCCCAACCACCCATTAAATAAGGATAGGTTTTGTTATTCTCAACACGTTCTCCCCTACCACCCATTAAATGGGGATAGGTTTTGTTATTCTCAACACGTTCTCCCCTACCATCCATTAGATGGGGATAGGTTTTGTTATTCTTTACACGTTCTCCCCTACCACCCATTAAATGAGGATAGGTTTTGTTATTCTCAACACGTTCTCCCCTACCACCCATTAAATGGGGATAGGTTTTGTTATTCTCAACACGTTCTCCCCTACCATACATTAAATGGGGATAGGTTTTGTTATTCTCAACACGTTCTCCCCTACCACCCATTAAATGAGGATAGGTTTTGTTATTCTCAACACGTTCTCCCCTACCACCCATTAAATGGTGATAGGTTTCGTTATTCTCAACACGTTCTCCCCTACCACCCATTAAATGAGGATAGGTTTTGTTATTCTCAACACGTTCTCCCCTACCACCCATTAGATGGGGATAGGTTTTGTTATTCTCAACACGTTCTCCCCTACCACCCATTAAATGAGGATAGGTTTTGTTATTCTCAACACGTTCTCCCCTACCACCCATTAAATGAGGATAGGTTTTGTTATTCTCAACACGTTCTCCCCTACCACCCATTAAATAAGGATAGGTTTTGTTATTATCAACACGTTCTCCCCTACCACCCATTAAATAAGGATAGGTTTTGTTATTCTCATATTCCTTATTCGAGAATAGCAGTTATCATAATTATCTTTTTTTCAAACGTTTTATAATATTTTATAAATGATGACCTTAAATTGAATATTTGGGGTTTGTAAAACGAAAACGAAATGTTATCTGCATGTATTTATGACGTACACCTTTTCAGGGACAACAACATAGGATCATGGATTACCTGAGGTCGATTCTTTTGGGGCGTTTGAGGACAATAAAAACGTACCGATAAAGTTATAAATATACCAATTACGCTAACAATATATTACTTTCTACAGTTTGGCTTAATTTTTTTGTAATGTTAATATATTGATGATAGAAATGCCATTAGCTATGTAAAAGCAGTTTACACATTTCAAATGAATAAAAATGTTGACAATTGAGTCCTTCATTGCAAAATCGCCAATTTACTGAAAAGAAAAAAAATATTGTACAATTTGAAGAAATATTTCTTTTCCAGTTTTCAAATGGAATAAAGAGAAGAAAGTAGGTATTTATACAAAAATAAAGCAAAAACTGTTTTAAATCAAAAATTTTCAGGGATTTAACTGACAGGTAAAAGAAAACACTTAAATATGATTTTTTTAAAGGGTTAACGTAGATGTGACAGCAACATAACGATATAGATTAACGACATATATAAAAATTAATCATTTTTTGTTGAATCAGTTATTCAAAGTTTTTATTAAGTTTGGGATTTATTTGGAAATATATGGCACCGAGCACCACTGATGATACATTATTTGTCGAAATGGCCATCTGATGCATTTGTACCTCTTATTGTCTTATATGTTATGTATGCATTATCTAGTGAATTCGTCTGTCGAACTTTATATTGATGAATGATCTTCTAATTGAATAGAGTAGTTGATTTTGTTGTGTGCAGTGTGTAGGATTTGACAATTGAGTCTAACTATTCATGCTGTTTACTGACTTTCTGCTATGTAAAACAAATAAATGAAAACGTATTCTTATTTTTTGTATATTGACTTCCTTGTCTATTGCATCAGAGGAAAAATTGTTTATTAATGAGGTTTCAATCAGTACACCAGTTTTCGACTTTGTAAGTGACTATTAATCTAGTGTAATTTTTTATAAATGTTCCGCCTGACATTTTTGGATTATATGTGATAGCTACATATTAATTACTTACTACATATTAATTACTTACTACATATTAATTACTTACAACATATTAATTACCTACTACATATTTATAACTTAATTTTTAATGGCACTACATGTATAAAACCAGAGGATTCCGAATATCTGGCAAAAATTCAAAAACAAGAGGAGCAAACATCCATAAATTACTTACTACATCTTTCAGGTGTCGTTGTCGTTGTCCTGATAGTTGTCGTTGGTTCAGGTGTCGTTGGTTCAGGTGTCGTTGTCCTGATAGGTGTACAACAAAACCTGGTGCCACAACATCCGTTTGTATCTTTCATTCCTTCACAGGTTTCATCTGTACTCATACATGTAGAACCATCAGGACATGTGTCTATGAATAAAATGATGAGTGACTAACAGATTTCTCACAGCAGAGACTGCTTTGTGCTGAATTAGTAAAATAAAATATGAACTAAATCTAAAGTCATATTTTAAAGAGATACCAAAATAGCAAAAAAACACAAAAAACACAAAAAAACACAAATACATCAGCCCTCTCAAGCTTCATTGAAAAAAAAGAGTTAAAAAAAACCTCGATAATTACAATTATGTACGGCACTCGCGGGTTTCGTCTACATACGACTCGTCAGTGATCGACGCACGAATGAAACAAACACAAAAAAGGTATGAAGTTGACGAGCACCGACGACTAAGAATTTCCGAAAGGTTTTGCCAAATACAGCTAATGTAGTCGAATCTTCGGGTATAATATAGTATTTCGAATAATTCAAAGTTTTGTAAACAGTTAATTATGACCATATCAATGATAATTCATGCCAATATTGAAGTTCTCGCTGCTGGGATGGTGATATACTCTCGGGGAGGAAACCTCTCCCTGCAGTGGCATCTGATAAGATTCTTAAAAATAAGTCATAATTGGTAACGAGCGTTATAATTTTTAAAGTATAGCGGCTTTGTTATTGTTTCTTGTTATAACATTGTTATCAACATTATAAAATCATCAGTAAATTTTTGTTGGAAAATGCCTATCCAAAGTCAGGAATATGACAGTAATTTTTCAGTCTTTCCGTTGATTGATATAGTCGAGCGTTTGGTTTTGTCAGTTTTTCTGGACTGCACCTGTTTTAATTTACCTTAGAATTTTTAATACTCTTAACCTCATACATGACTTAAATTATTAAAAATACAACAATAAGAATAAGCTTCCACAGAAAACACAATGCCCCAACTGTCTTATTTCGATGTTCAGTGACTTTGAAATTTTGTCAATATCTTAATTCAGTATAACTATTACAAATTTCACTCCATAATGAACAACTGTACAAAGTTCACTCCATAATGAACATGTGTACAAAGTTCACTCCATAATGAACATGTGTACAAAGTTCACTCCATAATGAACATGTGTACAAAGTTTCAAGTTGACATGACAACAATTAAACTACCCTAAAACAAAAACAAAACGTTTAATAAACCTGATACGAGACGAATGGACTATCAGACGGACAGACGAAAATAACATAAAAACATAATGTCCCTCTTATCGATGACGAGAATAACGACATATTAGCAAAACAATTCATCTTTCTGATTTGACGCTTAGGTTAAAATTGCATTGCCAAGAGGGAAAGTTTAAGACTGGTCGTCTTAGCTTGCATGGCAGAAGATGATTACGCTGTTGACCCACCCGGTCGCGCTTCTCTGTCAGTTCATGTGATTCCCTGGGTTTTCGCTTGTTGCCTTGATTTGTATCTTCTTAATCATGTTAATCAATATACGAAATTGAAGATTGGCAAACTAATGTGTCCTTAATTTATGTCATGAAATTTCTATACTTTGTTTTCAATTCATTCAGAATAATTGTTGAACATTTGGCCGACACTAAGGAATTGTATATTTCAAAGGAATGGAAACGCGGCTCGAGATCAATCGGGATACCCGCAGAGCACCCGCAGAGCTATAATCCATGTCTGACTCAGTAGGAAGTATGATGCATAATATAAAGAATCATGACGGAGGTCCATTTCCTGTCATATAGATCGGTCTTTTAATTCACGGGGTCATCTTGCTTGAGAAGATGAAAAGTAGAGAGAAACCCAAAATCAAGAATAAACTTTTATTCCATGAAAAAGGTAAGGCCTTAGGTATCATTTTAATGCCCCATCAAACATACGTTTGTAATATTGTATTATGTAAATTCTCATTAAAATAGACCTTGGTCTTGAAACTTGAGCGAGTTTCATCCGGATTACAAAACAAAAAATACTGTGTTTTGATTTTTTTCTAAAAGCTCGGCAACTACGAAGTGCAAAACAAAACAGTTGATATCTTTATGAAGCTGAAACATTATTCTATCATTTTGCCCTTTTTTTATTTTCTGGTAAAATTTCTGAATTTTCTACGATTTTTCGAAATTTCAGTTTTGAATTTCATTATTCTGTCAAAATATTTCTATCAATCTGGGAGTGTACTGCGATTTCTTTTAAATATTGGAAAGTGAGAAAATGAGATATCATTTTAAAGATGGAATTTTTTCCTACAGTTTGGTCTAAATTACGAATGCTAAATGTAATTGGTACAATGAAAATGATTTTATTTCGAAACATGTTGTAAATTTGAAGTAGTGCGTCAATAAATACATCGACACTTCGTATTTTGGTAGGGGTTAAATAACTACTTGAAATAGATGTGACATTGACATACAACTTAAAAGCTTAATCTTTTTTCTATCACATAGTGTTGGTTTTATGAAAATGGTGATACAAACGAATCTGCTATGATTTTTCAAAATCCCATGTTTATAGTTCACATTGACGCCATTTTGTTCAGTCAAGTTCCACAACGACGAAGTCGGAAATTACAGGCAAGATATATATATATAAGACTTCCGATTGGGATTGATTGTGCCGTTTTATATACGATTTTATTCATTTTTTTTTGTCAAATACTATTTTTTTATACTAAATCGTTGTTTGGTATTGCAGTTTGCAATTATTAAGCGTTGCCGCAAATTACCATACGCTTAACGGTAAAACAGTTCCTTCCTTTTTTCTCGCAGAGCAGTAGTCTAGAGGTCGCAAAAAATATTCCTTCGGTGTTAAAATAAATAATATGCGAATGTGGGAAAGTTTTAACTGTTTCTAATTAAAATTTTTATTGCATCTCGGCATAATTTAGCTTTTATTAACAGGTGAGCTCGGCGTGATTAATTTTTGACATCTTAAGTATATAAGACACAAATTAGCTTGTCATTGATACATGATATATTATACCTGCAAATTGGAACAACCCATGTCATTGTTTATTATAACACCTGTAATCTAAGTTCTTTTATCGAGATAATACTGCAGCTGTTTACTTTTTTCTTCCTTCATATTGATTTATTAACTTCTTTCTTTATCAGTCATATTTCACAATTGAAAAGTCATTTAGTTACATTTCCTTTCTTTTGCATGAAAACTATTTAAAACTCGTAAAATGTCCGATTTCATCTCATTGTTACATACCTTCATGAAATATCAAGATAAAAAACAAGAATAAAAACGTTTTTCATAAGTAACTTTACATGTGGTTGTATTGTTATATTTTTTTTTGTTGGTTATTTAATTTATTTTTGGTTTCATGATTATATCACCTACTTTACCACTTTCGTACTGCACTATGTAAGTACCATTACTCTTCAATAAAATATGTATTTCGAATGATCTTCTAAAAAAACCCAATTATGATTTTTTTTTTACACCAAGCAAATTGAAACAGAATGCCCCTCAGAAGGATTTTAGTTCATTATTTTTTATTACAGAAACATGCCCAAGAAGAAAAAAATATCGCCGTGAATAATTTAATTACCTTCTTTACCGGAGAGCGCTTATAAAGTGAGATAACTAGTGTCTGATTAAATGACCATGTTCGATAACTGCTACCAGATAAGTAATGAGCCAGTTAGAGCATCGGGGTGTAATTAACACACCACCCAAGTCAGAGATGCATCATAAAATTTTCTTTGAAGTCGGCCGCGTTTCCATTCCTTTTAAATATACAATTCCTTGCCGACACAGAATATCTTCCCAATGAATAAATTTTGTGTATGTATACAGTTTATTGTCTCACATTTGTATTCATGGTTTGCAAATAGGCATTAACAATAATTATGTCGGTTAATATGAAATCCTACGATGATTATTGCTGAAATAAATTCTTTACTTACCAGTACATTTGCAACATGCTTTACCACACGTGCACTTAAAGGCTAATTTTTCCACATAACCTCCTAATGATGGACATGTATCAGAAACGGAACAATATCCACCTCGTCCAGTGCATGCAAAATTCGGTTCGCCTGTAAAATGTTATAACAAATTATTCTAGAGATAAATAAACAAAACCCTGTACTTCTACGAAAATCTTCAATAGGTAAAATATTATGTTCTTGTTGAATGGATCACTGGTTAAAACAGATAATCAAGATAATGACCAGAAGTAAAACGACGAAAAAAGGAAAAAATCCATAAAATCACTTCTTCAAAGAAAAATAGCAAATGAACAACACGAACCCCAAAGTCATATTCTCACAAAGATAAAATAGATTCTTAATGTACTATGTACTAAACATTTGTGTTGAAGAACATTTTGATACAATAATGTGTTAGTGTTTCGTAAACATAGGATGAAAACAAACTGTTAATCTCAATTTTAATTAATTGGTATTTGAAAAAGAATACTGAGCAACACTTTCCTTACGATATAATTTCGCATTTGGCTAAATTTACCTATTTATTCTCTTTCAGACCAGAAATAAAACGACGAAAAAACAAGAAACAATCCAGAAAAATAACAATTAATTATTTGTAAAATTCTTTATCATTATCAAAAAGTCCTTAAAAATAAACACTTACCTTTATACTGATTAATCATTGTTATTGCCACAAACAAAACTAGCAGAGCAGTTTTTCCCATGTTAGCTATCTGAAAGGTAATCAAGAGAATGCCTGAAACGACGATGGTTATAGCTCAAACATCTAAATGAGTCTGCTCAATGGACCACTAAAGAAATTATGTTGCCTTATGCATGCGAGTGTTATTGTTGTGGGTTTTTGATTGGTCCATACGTTATTAACAAAACTGTGCACGTTTTTAAGACATTTAGAAAAAAATATTTTCATAATTTATATCATGTTACCATGTAGTATTAAAATAAAATTTTATTCACGTTGCATCTCGGCCTAATTTAGCTTTTATTAACAGGTGAGCTCGGCGTGATTAATTTTTGACATCTTAAGTATATAAGACACAAATTAGCTTGTCATTGATACATGATATATTATACCTGCAAATTGGAACAACCCATGTCATTGATTATTATAACACCTGTAATCTAAGTTCTTTTATCGAGATAATACTGCAGCTGTTTACTTTTTTTCTTCCTTCATATTGATTTATTAACTTCTTTCTTTATCAGTCATATTTCACAATTGAAAAGTCATTTAGTTACATTTTTACATTTCCTTTCTTTTGCATGAAAACTATTTGAAACTCGTAAAATGTCCGATTTCATCTCATTGTTACATACCTTCATGAAATATCAAGATAAAAAACAAGAATAAAAACGTTTTTCATAAGTAACTTTGCATGTGGTTGTATTGTTATATTTTTTTTTTGTTGGTTATTTAATTTATTTTTGGTTTCATGATTATATCACCTACTATACCACTTTCGTACTGCACTATGTAAGTACCATTACTCTTCAATAAAATACAAGTAGTATTAAAATAAAATTTTATTCACGTTGGAATTCAAAATATTGCAAAAAAATCAACCTAATATGGTATATTTCAATTCTATTGTATGATATCGCTAATTTATTTATTGTGTGTCTTGCTTGCAAATGTATAATTATGTAATTGTTAATTTATAATTGTTATCCTCTTGTAGCACCATACGTGTGCCTACGTTGTAAAAAATGGTCTTGTCTTGTCTTGTCTTGTCTTGTCTTGTCTTGTCATTAACGAAGGAATTGCATGATGATGATGGATGTTTTAAACATCCTTGACAACCAAAGGAAAAAGACGTTGGTGTTATACTCCTTATGAACCCATAAAAATAGATATATAGCACTACTTTCTGCAGAGAAAATAATTGTTAATAGCAACATATCTATGTTTACGATAATAAAATCATTTCTTCAAACAGCAGAGGTATCGACCACAATCTAACAAATTGAGACAGTTCACGACTGCTCTCATGCATTTAATTGACATGAAGCAACACATGAAATACAAGAAATTTCGTTACAATTATTGCATAATAGATCTGAATACGGTCGGAATTATATATATGTATGAATAACTGTAAGTTGGTAGCTACGGGGTTAAGATGGGTCTTGCAGTTTACGTTGGGAGTACAGTCAGTTATTTTGAATTATTGTTTCTCTTTTGGTTTTCTAGTTTTCCTATTCTGTACGTTATTTTGAAATCATTGCGATCAGAATTGACCTTTCCCTTTTGTTTTCTTGTTTTTTTTTTGTGGCAAATTATGTTATTCTAAAAAGAAATTATGTCTTTGCTTATTCATATTAATTGCATCTGTTCAAATATATATTTGTGAATTACCGTATAGCGGGTTATTTTCGCGGGTGTAAAATTTCGCGATTTAGGGGCAACAAAGTATACGAAAAATTTTGGCGGTTTTTATTTTGGCGAATTATTTAATCCCAATTAAATATTTTGGCGGATAATGAAATGGTTGCAGTTAAAAAGTTGTAAAAATTGACATACAAGGGTCTATTGTTATGTTTAAATGATCGTTTTACCTGCATGACGTTTTATTTATTGATTATATTTTAATACAGTTAATCAATAGAATACCGGAACATAGTTATTTGTCACAGGTATACAAACTTCTTGTAAATGTTACGATTAATTAGTTACAAAATTGACCGGACCTTTGATGTTCTTATTAGATTATAAAATTATCATGAGTGACTTGCAACTGTTATATAATTTGACACTAATTAATAAGGATGAAATACCTGACAAGCGTACCTTACACTCTCATATTATTATTTATTTTATTATGTAACCAATAAACTAATTAACACCTGACAGCCAGTGAACAATCGCCTTTTGCATTTATTTTGTTTGAATTAACATAAACCGTTATTGATCCGTCGAACTCGAAAAAATAGATAGTTTACAAAATGTTTTAGCTATTAGAAAGTATCGAACGTATGCATAAATTTTCGCGGAATTTATTTTCGTGATTCCCCCTCACCCGCCAAAATAAGCGAAAATAAACACCCCGCGAAAATAACTCCGCTATACGGTACTATGATTTTAATACACACTGGATAAGCGCTCATGATGGGCTTGTTTAAAGTCTCTGACCAGATCTCAAAAGACGGTGAAATTCTAAGAATATATGGATCCGCATGACGTTCGAGGCATGCACAGTGGGAAACAGTTACCCTGTCGACGCATCCGGTCTCGCTCCGTATAAGAGTCCATGTGATTCAATCAGAGATTATTGACTGGTTTATATATTAAAAAAGAATTTACGAATTTTGAACATAGTGCTTTGCTGTTTCCTCATGGTTGTTAATGAAATCATTCGTTGTTCTCTAATCATCAATAATTATATTCTACAAAACGTAAACTGTTTGATTGAATCTATTAAAGTATAGATTTAATATATCGATTGGACATGTACTTTTATTCTCGCATGCTGTCAGTATCATGGGTAGTAAGGTCGTCATATCGAGGAGCGTTTAGCTCAGTGATTTTGTCATAGTTTGGTTAAGTTGATCATGGATTAGTTAGGTTACTTCCAAGAACGATTGCCTCAGTTCTTTTCAAATGAGCAAATAAAAAGCAAATTACATATTTGAATCTATATTGTAAGTCAAACGATCTAAATTGAAATTGTTGTTTTTAAGAAATTCAAAATTTCGAAATTGGTATGGTTTACTAAATTTTATCATCGGTACAAGGACATCATTCGTAAATATAAATCAACATGCAGACATCAAATACGTTCAGGTATTTCACATCCAATATTTTATGGTAATATTCTTTACAAAGCACAAAAATGTCGGCATTCACATCAAAAGCTAACCAAACCTTTAAACAGACTTATTCGGAAGGGATATAGTTACGATACTGTTGTCCGATCATTAAGGATTGCATATTTTGGTATTAATATTGATTCACTCATAGGGTCTTGTATTTTGTCATTGTATATAGGTAACATAACTCTAATAACTTTATGAGGTTAAGAAGTTGAAGAAATTAGGCAAAATTCTAGCAATAGGCATCATTCAATCATTTTAAAGTAGTAGTCCAATTTTTCTTCCCTTCTTTTCAACCTACTCACTTTGCCAATGCTACCTAGTTGGTTTACTGTTTAATTTGTTTTCAAATTCTTTATCTTTGCATGTCCCTAGCGGGGCTCCGTAAATATCTATGCACATGTACCGAAAAATTGTGTTTGCGGATGAATATCTCTTATATCGCATTTTATGCAGGTAATAGGGTCTTTGCATCGGAAATAAACACATTTATTCTAAAACCAGTTGTTTGCATGATACGGGTTATGTTCTTCTCATATATTTTATGATGGTACGATACTAAACCCCTAACGGGAGGGATTGTACCTGATTTTCATATGATGAAGACATAATCTTTTAATCAGTTTAATTGAGGTCTGGAGCTGGCATGTCAGTAACTGCTAGTAGTCCTTTGTTAATTTATGTATCATTGTCATCTTGCTTAGTTTCTTTTTTTACCTATTCTGACATCGGACTCGGACTTCTTTTAAACTGAGTTTTACTGTGCGTATTGATATGTGTTTCTTTATTCTACATTGGCTAGAGGTATAGGGGGAGGGTTGAGATCTCACAAAACATGTTTAATGTTATTTGGTTAGACTAGAGGAGAAATCACAGAGAATAAGATGAATATTAGCAGCAGAATTCCATTCTGATTTTTTTATTAGTTGTTATTGGCTTGGAAAATACTCATAGATCAATTCTTTGTGTCTTTGGTGTTTTTGTGACTTGATTATTTTGCTTTGTATCGATATGATTAGTCAATTCATTTTCAACTAATTTTTATAGTATGTTGCTGTTACACTACTGCTCAGGTTAAGGCAAAGGGATGGTTTAGAACCCGCAAACATTTAAACCACGCCATATTCTGCATGTGCATGTGCCTATCCAGAGTCTGTAATGCAGTGGCTGTCGTTTGTTACTGTATAACATATTTGTTTTTCGCTTATTGTTTTAAACATAAGTCAGGCCGTTGGTTTTCTCATTTGAATTGCTTTAATTTTGTCGAATATAATTGCTTGCTAAGAGGTATGAGTTTTGTTAATTGTTAAAGCCGTACGGCAACCTAACATTTACGTCATGTGGTCTCGGGTGGATAGTTGTCTCATTGGAAATCAAACTGCATTTACTTATTGTATATTACTATGTGCTTTCTTGTGTTCTTTTGTATTCCGAATAAAACTACTTTTAAAGAAAATTGCTATTGAAATGCATTTAATTTAATATATCACCCTCGTGATCTCTTTATACATGCGTGTTCTATAATTATGAAAGCTATAATGATAATATCTTAAATTTACTGCAGACGACTCATTTTCTCGAGCGATGTATTTTTGCGAGTAGAAGATCAACGTTAATATGTTAAACTCAGATCTACTCGTAGGGGAACAAAACAGCAACGTAAGGAAATGACGACAATAATATTGTCGTCATTTCCTTATGTTGCTGTTTTATTATATTGTCTCAAAATAGGATAGAATGGGTCAAACACGAAAAAAAAGGATCAACCAAAATATTTTTAAAAGTATTTTGATAGTTGTACACAATGTCTGTTTATTTTGATCGTTACACTTCTACCATACATGACAGGAATCACATAACTGAACCATGTCAAGCATGAACTAAACCATGACACTACTGAACCAAACCATGACACCGAATTTTTGGTAATCTTAAATTGTGTGCAAATGTAGCTTTTTTGGGGAATAATTGACGACAGGTTTATATTATAACGAAATATGTGATGTAACAGACAGTAAAGAAATCACTTTTCTTTATGGATAAGAAACGAACAACAACTTTTAAATTTTGACATACGCAAGCATTATTCTGTGTCAAATTATAACCATATGATAAAAATTTTAATGTACTAATATATTAGCCATAAACAAAGATACTTACCAGCTTGAATTTATGTTCAGAGGTTTCTTTAGCAAAAAATCCGATTGTTTATATTGTGTCATTGTTTGTCATTACAGAACACTTAACACAATCATGTCCAACTTAACCAAACTATGACAAAATCACTGTACTAAACACTCCTCGATATGACGAACCTTACTTCTTGTGGAAGAAGTTATCAATGATCGTTAAACATGTATGGTTATACAAGGAACTTGTAATGAACGGTTACGATGTCAAGATACATGTAAGTTGTTCGCCTTAAGGTAAGCTAACTGGCTTACTTGTCGAAGAGCATAGCAAAATCACAGAACTATATATTTCATTTAGATGGGTTTGCTTAGAACTAATCATAATCGGGTTCCTAATTATTTTACTTTGAACAAGAATATTGACCCAAACAATCGGACATGCAATTTCATTTAACCTTTGCAGACCATCAATTTTTATGGGTCAACATTCTGCGACAAGTAAGCCAGTTACGATAGATTTGAATGTTATTTATACTTTAAGTAAACCCAAAACTTAAAACTACAAAAACAAATGTCAAGTTTGATTTTATAAATTAAATTAACCAAATTGCAATTTTAAGTCAAAAACAATACCCATCTCCCGACCAAAAAAAATGTAGTATTATCCCCCCCCCCCCCCCCCCACACACACACACACACAGAGTCGATGTCAAATACAGAAGTTCTGTTCTGTTCATACTATCTAACAAATTTCAAGAAATTCATATTTTCTGATATCCTGTACTGTAAAATCCCTACCTGCTTAGGAATTTGAATAATTATAGTCATTACAGGTAAATCTGAGAGAACTCGAAGTTACTGAAAGCTAGTTGATTGCTAAACGTCCAGTGGCAAGTAGTGCATGCATGTTCAGGACAAAAACAAATTTACAATAACTACAACAAGTAGGTCCTGTAATAGGGGTCGTCCAGGATGAAGGTCTGGAAATTGGAAATGCCATTGGAAATGAGGGTTAACTTGATAGGGAGAAAAATTTTGCCTTTCAGCAGACCACCTACGGGCCCCTCAAAGACTTGTTGCAAGTGTTCTTAACGTGCATAGAGCGTGCCGTTCTCTCTACACTAGGCATCAGATTTAAGGTCCGCATTCTGGCCAGACGTGACTGCGCATTTATACACCTCGCACAGCCAAACGGACGCCCCACTTTGGCATGGGTTTTATTGTAGATCGGATGAAGACCAAGTGGAAGCTAGTTGAAAGCCAACAACAACTTATAAAAAACATCATGTATCTAAAAATAAAATGTCAGGGTTTTGAGCATGTTGAGGTTCATTCAAGTATTTGTTAATATGAGTGAAATAATCTGAACCAAAATTCTAGTTTTTAATTTCTATATAAGTTGGAATGTAATGTGCATATAATTCCATCCAATACTCCATTCACTAAGGACGATAGACTAGTGCACAAATGACATTTGATAATTAAAGAGTTTTGACGACTTCACGTGCACCTACAGATAACGTTGTCATTATTTTTTTTAATGAAAAAAATATATTTCTGAAAAAAAAAATATTTGTAGGCACGTGTGTAAGTAGGAAAAAGCAAAATAACAAAAATTCCGAACTCCAAGGAAAACCTAAAACGGGAAATCCCCGATTAAATGGCAAAATCCCACACACATCAAACGAATGGAAAACAACTGTCGTATTAATATTCCTGACTTGGTAAAGGCATTTCCTTATGTAGAAAACATTAATTATTAATTAACTGTAATACAGCACTGTGCATTCATTATTATTCGTGAGATACCAATTTTCATGGATTTTCTGGGTATATAGATAAACCATGGATTTAAATGTTCAACAAAGCGCCAATTATCTTATTTTTAGGCTTGTATGCAGACTTTTGCAATACCACGAATTCTTTTAAGGCGGTACATAACACTACAGTGAGATAACTCTGTAAAAATCAGATGAACTTTTTAATCACATTCTATTGTTAAGGAAATATTAAGCTTCTCTATGATCAAAATTAGTGTTTGTCAAACTGCTATGTATATATATCCAATGACATTTTTCCGATAAAGTGTGTGGTTCAAATTTGTTGAAATTTTTGTTTTTGTCAAAGGGTCAAAGTAAATATTTTGTCAAAATTTTATGAAAATTAAACGAGCCAAATTAATTTTAGTCAAGGTGTTGGGTACCACCTTAATATTAATTACAATTGTTTTTCATTTCAGATCCAAAACCAAAGTACAAGGATGTTTTGTTACCATGGTTTCCAACACGTTAATATGATTGCTAACACAAACTCTGCTTTAAACATTTGCAGTTTGATAATATTGTCATTTACTGAAGAAAGAATGTGTTTAAAAGTCAAAATATTAGTTTTTGTCTCGCCTTGACGGAGTCAGAAAGTGAGACATAGGCATTTTCAAGTCTCATTTCCATGGAGATTATATAGCCCCATCCCCTCATCACGGTTCATTGACTTTGAAACTTTTGCATAGTTTACAAGTTAATGTTTGTGTTTAGGTTTGTTTAAAGGGAACGACTTATGGTATTCAATGGTATTTAGTATGCAGTTGTTTTAGTATTGGCACATCTCATTTCCATGGAGATTGTTCAGCCTTTTACCTTCAGTCATTGTTCATTGACTTTCAATTTATGCATTACTTACATGTTAAAAGTATTGCTATTTTAATTTCAACATTATCGAAATAACAAAAAGGCGAGACATATCTCTGTGTTAACAGTTTATTTCTTTGTTTAAGTGATTTACCTTGGAGTAATGTAACAAAATGTGAGACCTGATATTCAAGCAGCAGCATGTACTGCAGAAATTTTTGTTTTGTATATATATACTAAGTGGAAAACTAGGCATATCTTGTTATGCATTATCATGGTCTCACTTTTAGGTTTGGCATATTTTATTGTTGCCCTTGACATCATTTTCATGGTTCATTGACTGTTTATACCCCGTACAGTAGGGTGGGCGGTCTGTTTGCCTTTTGTGCCCCCATCTGTCCATCCTGTATAAGGTTAAAGTTTTGGTTTAAGGAAGTTTATCTCGAAGTTGATATTGATTTCACTGTGACTCTTATCAACTTTCAAAATATTTTGTAAACATCTTATTTTTAATGTCAACTTTAAAATATATGCTAAATTAAGGGTTTTTACCAACTTAATACATCAATTTTTTTTTAGGTTTTATTAAACGTGGAAATGTGATAGTGTGAACAAGTCATGGTGTCATGTATTCTAATCACTAAATGATTGTCTCGCCTGCGACCAAAGTCGAGAAAAGCCAGACTTAGGGATTACTTTTCTGATGACGGCGTCAGCAATTTTTTTTTTTTGCATAAGTAAAAATAGTTTGATAGGAACTACTTGTGCTAGATCATTGAAATTTAAATATAAAGTTGCATTACAATCAATACAAATCAGTTTGACCACTATTTTGAGGCCCTGCCCCCTAGGTCATGCTCCAGTGAATTTGAATTAATTAGTAATTTTCGATGTTAAAGTTTTATGCCCTATCTACGATAGTAGAGGGGCATTATGTTTTTAGATCTGTGTGTCCGTTCGTCTGTCCTGCTTCAGATTAAAGTTTTTGGCCAAGGTAGTTTTTGATGAAGTTGAAGTCCAATCAACATGAAACTTAGCACACATGTTTCCTATGATATGATCTTTCTAATTTTGATGCCAAATTAGAGTTTTGACCCCAACTTCACGTCCACTGAACATAGAAAAGTGCGAGTGGGGCATCCGTGTACTATGGACACATTCTTGTTTCTGCTTAAGTTAAATTGATGGGAACTACTTACAACAGACAACGATCTGTTCTATGAAGTTACATTATGGTCTGTACATCTCAGTTTGTCGACCATTTCAAGGCCCTGTCCACTTGATCATGGTCAAGCCACCTTGAATTAATAAGCCGTGTTGCTGTCCATCAGATTGTCTTGTTCCGAATTTTATGTCAACATTTTATTTTTATTTTGTGGTTTAAGTTCTCACTGTGACTGAGATGGAGAGCAGCAATTAAAGCACTGTACCTTTTCTTTTGGCGTTTTTATGTGCAAATAGTGATTTTCTGTCAATAATGAAACACCTTTTCATAAATCATAAAATCCTTTCATAATGATATTTGGTATATAATTGTATAGTCATATAAAAATGAGGAGATGTGGTATGATTGCCAATGAGACAACTATCCACCAGAGTTAAAATGAAGTATTAACTAATTATAGGCCACCGTACGGCCTAATTCAATAATGAGAACCCATACCGTATAGTTGGCTATTTTGTACATGACAGTTTAGTATTTGTTGACCTACTTTATTTTACCCATTAACAGCCCTTAACTAAGAAAATTTCATGTAACTTGACAGTATCCTTCTCCTTGCAATTGTTGAGATTCTATTTTGTACACAGTAAACAAATGTAATTCGGTCAATCTTAGTGTTCAAGAACGGGTAAAATTGGCACCAAGATTTTATTGTTTTTTTTTAATTGAACCTAAGTACTAAGAATATCCCATAAAAAAATTGTGGATGCTACTAATGATACAAAATATGCCCCCGAATTATGCATTATTTATGTCGTAATTTCAGTTTTCTGCCATATTTTTCATATACATTTATTTAGTTTTTAGCATTATTTACTCAGGATTTTATATAAACCATGATGTCTTTTGAATAAAGAATATTTTGGATCATATGTTATGGTAAAGGATTGCCTGAGGCTTTCCGTCCTAAAAAAATGCACACAATTACAGTATTTTGACAATTTGTCCAAAATGTGCCGACTTTGGTGGCCTATAATGTACTGTCTTGCCTACCTTTAAGGCTTTTGAAATAGATCCACATAAGAACCACATTATGGCCTTTTTGATATTTATGTTAAAGTTGAAAATCAAGGTCATATTTTGCCAAAAATGAAAAGTGTCCTTTTCAGTGTTTGGGGCAATTCACTTTGAAATATATTTGAATTTTCTACAGATTATGTGGGATAGGATTGAAAATCCATGTGATGATACTAATACATCGCCAGCAGTCATCCTGTTTCAGTGATTCACTTGTCGAAAGAATCGGTTTTATCTGAATCACCATGTTATGTTACTGTAAATAACCAGCAGTCATCCTGTTTCAGTTATTCACTCATCAAAAGAATCGGTTTTATCTGAATCATCATGTGATGTTACTGTAAATCACCAGCAGTCATTCTGTTTCAGTGATTCACTCGTCGAAAGAATCGGTTTTATCTGAATCACCATGTGATGTTACTGTAAATCACCAGCACTCATCCTGTTTCAGTGATTCACTCGTCGAAAGAATCGGTTTTATCTGAATCACCATGTGATGTTACTGTAAATCACCAGTAGTCATCCTGTTTCAGTGATTCACTCGTCGTAAGATACGGTTTTATCTGAATCACCATGTGATGTTACTGTAAATCACCAGCAGTCATCCTTTTTCAGTGATTCACTCGTCAGAAAGAATGAATTTTATCTGAATCACCATGTTTTTTAAATGTAAATCACCAGCAGTAATCCTGTTTCAGTGATTCACTCGTCGAAAGAATCGGTTTTATCTGAATCACCATGTGATATTAATGTAAATCACCAGCAGTCATCCTGTTTTAGTGATTCACTCATCACAAAGAATGAATTTTATCTTAATCACCATGTGTGTACTGTAAATTATCAGCAATCATCCTGTTTCAGTGATTCACTCGTCAGAATGAATAAATTTTATCTGAATCAACATGGGTGTACTGTAAATCACCAGCAGTCATCCTGTTTCAGTGATTCATTCGTCAGAAAGAATGAATTTTATCTGAATCACCATGTGTGTACTGTAAATCAACAGCAGTCATCCTGTTTCAGTGATTCACTCGTCAGAGAGAATGAATTTTATCTGAATCACCATGTGTGTTCCGTACATTACCAGTAGTCATCCTGATTCAGTGATTCACTCGCCAGAATGAATGAATTTATCTGAATCACCATGCGTATACTGTAAATCTCCAGCAGTTATCCTGTCTCAGTGATTCACTCATCAGGAAAAATGAATTTTATCTGGATCACCATGTGTGTACTGTAAATCTCCAGCAGTCATCCTGTTTCAGTGATTCACTCGTCAAAAAGAATGAATTTTATCTGAATCACCATGTGTGTACTGGAAATTAGCAGAAGTTATCCTGTTTCAGTGATTCACCCGTCAGAAAGAATAAATTTTATCTGAATCACCATGTGTGTATGGTAAATCTCCAGCAGTCATCCTGTTTCAGTGATTCACTCATCAGGAAGAATGAATTTTATCTGAATCACCATGTGTGTACTGTAAAAGAGGGACGAAAGATACCAGAGGGACAGTCAAACTCATAGATCGCAAACACACTGACAACGCCATGGCCAAAAATAAAAGGACAAACAGACAAATAATAGTACAGATGACACAACATAGAAAACAAAAGACTAAGCAACACGTACCCCACCAAAAACTGGGGGTGATCTCAGGTGCTCCGGAAGGGTAAGCAGATCCTGCTCCAAATGTGGCACCCGTCGTGTTGCTTATGTTATTACAAATCCGGTAAATAGTCTAATTCGTGATTAGGGAAGGGAATTGAAGTAACGACATAAGGAACATATCCGATATGATCTATGAAACGGTTATTCCATAACGGTCAACCAACTCGTGATGGCGTCCGTAAAATTTACGAAGCGATGATTTCAACTTCACCATTTGGAACTCTTGGTTTAATAGCTTCCTTGTGAGCAGCAATCCTCTATCAAGGAAATCGTGATAGGAAATACAAGCCCGGGAATATCGTATCAATTGGGAGATATATATTCCCTATGCAGGCGCTGCTGGAATGTTGCTACATAGAAATGGAAAGTTCACAATTGGGAAGCTGAAATCATCTCTTTTGTAAATCTCCAGCAGTTATCCTGTTTCAGTGATTCACTCATCAGGAAAAATAAATTTTATCTGGACCACCATGTGTGTACTGTAAATCTCCAGCAGTCATCCTGTTTCAGTTATTTACACGTCAGAAAGAATGAATTTTATCTGAATCACCATATGTGTACTGTAAAACTCTACAGTAGTTACAGATCTGAATTTTGAGATCCGAGTTTTGATTTACCTCTTTTAGGCTTAATATGAAAATAAGGAGTTGATGTATAAATGCCAATGAGACAACTATCCACCAAAGTTCAGGAGCCTGTAGTACTGTGGTTGTCGCTGGTTCACGTCTGTCATGTTAGTTTTTCATATATTGTTTTGTGATGAACTAGGTCATTAGTTTTCTCGTTTGAATTGTTTCACAGTTTACCTGTCGACTATACGGTATGGGTTTTTTTCATAGTTGAGAGCCGTACTGTGGTATATAATTGCTTACTTTCATTTCGTTTAAACAATACATAAGTATTCTCATTGGAAATCATACCACATCTCATTTTTATATTGACCAAAAATATCGACTTCTTATAGGAATTGTTGAATGTGAATGACATCCATGTTTATTTTTTGGCAGAAAATATATTAAACAGAGAAACTATAAATGGACAGCAAAAAAGACCATTTAGAATAGATGGAAAGGGGTAAATATATCCAAATATATACATTGGCTTAGTATTTGATTTTTTCAAAAGTGCACAAATTACAACAAAACAAAAGAAAGACAAGGATTCAGAAAAAAGGAAAAACTGATATAAAATTCTTTTGGGTCATAACATTTGGGTTAAATCCATCACCTTCCTTATATTCAAAAGGGAATATATACTGTTCTGTTGCATCTTTTAATGATTAACTGTCAGCTTCAGATACATTTAGTAAACGATGAAGGCAAGTGCTACATAGATACAGCTAATGACGCCTCGTTTGGTGTTGGATATTCATCGGCAGAAACGATGTCACGTTTACGGATGTCTATGGCGCGGAATCAAGGTCAAAAATACTTATTTACGTATAAACATAATTCGATTACATACAGAAATCGAATTATGTTTATACAGAAACAATTCCATATATACATATATCAAATAACGTTTATACAGAAATAATTATGTATGTACGGAATTCGATTTACGTATATACGGAATTCAATTTACATATATACGGAATTCAATTTACGTATATACATAATTCCATTTTCGTATATGCGTAATTAGATTTACGTATTTATACACAAATCAAATAAGGTATATACGTAAATCAAATTCCGTTTATACATAACTATCTAATTCGTTTTACGTATATACTTAAATCGAAATACGTATATACATAAAGAATTCCATATATACGTAAATGAAATTTCTTATATACGTAAATCGATTTCCGTATATACATAAATCGAATTCTGTATAAACATAATTAATCTGTATATACATAATTTTCTGTATGTACGTATTTCTATTTACGTATATATACGTAAATCGAATTCCGTATATACGTAAATCGAATTACGTATATGTGTAAATATTTATGTATATACGTAAATAAGTATTGTTGACCCTTATTCCGCGCCATAGATGTCAGTAGAGGAAAGTAATATTTTCCCATTGCTGAATTTTTCAGATACTTTTGATACGTCTTGTTCAATTTCAGATGCCTTTAATTTGCATTTCAACTTTCCTTGGACTGCAACAACATTTCGTAATGACAAATCACTACTGAAGACCAGGTTTGACTTTCCATGAGGAGCACGCCTTGGTTTTATAATAACTGAATCGCCGTTATACCTTTCCAGTTTGTCTTGTGAATTTCTAATAGGAACACCGTTGTACAAGCTTCCGTACTTAATTAACATATATGTTCTCAGTAGAGATTTTGTTATGCAACCTGAATGATAGATGATAGACTGCTTGGTCAATAAATGCTTTGTCATCAATTCTTTGAAGCAGCCTTTGATAATTCTTTATAAAACCTGATTCCCTTGAATTATGCTTTGGGTCATATGATTTTTTTTTTGTGAGACTTACGATCTTTAAAATGTCTTATGTTCATAGAAAAACCAAACATTCCAATTTGAAACTTGGCAGATTGGCAAAATGCATGCCTGGCATATATGTTTCAGCAGCTGTAATGATTTGCTCAGGTAAACCTTTTGCCAATTCAGCACTGAAGTAACCGCAGTTGTGTCTGTTAGGGTATGATTTATAGCACAAACGGTTTGAAAATGACTTTGTAATCATCACTCCGACGGTGATTTTGGTCGGAAACATCAAAAGACCCTAACATAGAATTATTCTTTCCTGGGTTCAAAAGACTCGATAAATCTACTTTTGCTAATGCCGGGCATATCTATAAGCAACTTAGCAAATAACACTAATCCTATAGTATTTCATTCCTACTTCGTTTCGGATTTGATAGACACAGTTTAACAGGACTGTGGAATTGTGCTATATTCCGGGTCTGAAACAAGACCTACCCAATTGATTTCTTATACAACAAATATAACTAAAAAATCAATTCAATAAAATTTTTTTCGATTCCTAACATCACTGAAGAGACATTAATTGTCGAAATCCGGATATGGTGTATAAAAATATTTGCACCTTTTGTTTGCGGTATACCATCTTTTCCGCTAGTTTATTGTTTTCTGTTTGGTATTAAATCTATAATTGAGATCCATTTATTACACCGGGTGATCCGTTTATTTGGCAATCGCCAATGGCAGTCAGCAGGGTTTAAGAACATTTGTTGTTCGACCTGTTAATCAAATGCGTTTTGTTAAAATATACTTTTTCTCTTTTTTGGTCTTTTGGAAAATGTTGTTTGTGCTGTATTTAGACCCCTCTAACAAGAAATTTGTTTTGCATGCACACGTATAAAAATTGCGGTTTTTATCCAACGCAATCCTAGGTTTGAACGTTGTTTTCAATTTAGACTTGCTTATATTTTTTCGTTTGGGCTTGTATTATATTTGCCTTCGGGTTTATATGATCCGTTCATCCTATTTTGACTTCTCAAAATTCAAGAGTCTATCCTAAATTGAGGTAAATTATATGGCCTTCCAAATACCGTTTCGATTCCTAACATCACTGAAGAGACATTAATTGTCGAAATCCGGATATGGTGTATAAAAATATTTGCACCTTTTGTTTGCGGTATACCATCTTTTCCGCTAGTTTATTGTTTTCTGTTTGGTATTAAATTTATAATTAAGATCCATTTATTACACCGGGTGATCCGTTTATTTGGCAATCGCCAATGGCAGTCAGCAGGGTTTAAGAACATTTGTTGTTAGTCAAATGCGTTTTGTTAAAATATACTTTTTCACTTTTTTGGTCTTTTGGAAAATGTTGTTTGTGCTGTATTTAGACCCCTCTAACAAGAAATTTGTTTTGCATGCACACGTATAAAAATTGCGGTTTTTATCCAACGCAATCCTAGGTTTGAACGTTGTTTTCAATTTAGACTTGTACATATATATATATATATATGTCTCGGAAAAAACGAACAAAACAACCATCTACAAACTAATCGGCTGACAATTTAAAACAAATGAAACATCCATACATTAAGCAAAAATGAGAAAATCATTGCGTGACAACTACCCTAAACCGCTTTGTTTTTGGTGCGTTTTGGGTTTAAATTATCCCTTTGGTTTCCTTACGTTTTAGTGTCGAAAGTTATCCAAGAAACAAGTGTCATACGCACAATATCAATATTATACAATTTTTATTATTTAAGAATTGAATGCTTCTTTTTGTAAATGTATTGGGGTGTAAAAGCGTTGACCGAAGTACATTTTGTATGAAGCGCGGAAACGCTTCATTCTAAATATGTGCGCACGGTCAACGCTTTTACAACCCTATAAAATTACTAAAAGAAGCATTCAATACTTATAATTACATTTTTTTGCTAGGATCATGAAAACACGATTTCTATCAAGTTTTTTCTTTTATTTACCTGTGCACTTTATTGTGGAAGCTCGTGTCATCATGAATGTTACATTTCATTTTTAAATGAAGGCTAATTTCAGAATGACGCGAGATTGCTGTTTGCTAATCAAAAAGTAAAATCACAAAAATACTGATTTCCGAGGAAAATTTAATCGGAAAGTCCCTAATCACATGGCAAAATCAAATGACAAATCACATCAAACGAATGGACAACAACTGTCATATTCCTCACTTGGTACAGGCATTTTCAAATGTAGAAAATGGTGGATTGAACCTGGTTTTATAGCGCTAAACCTCTCACTTGTACGACAGTCTCATCAAATTCCGTTATATTTACAACGATGCGTGAACAAAACAGACATTATAAATAAAATAGTCAAAATATGGGTACAGCAGTCATCACTGTGTTACAATATCAAAACAAACAATTATTTACAAAAAAGCACAAAATAGCGTTTTATAATGAAACATACATGTCATGTAATTATTTTATTATAACTGTAGATATTTTCACATAAATTTGCTTCTGTCTGCTTCATGGTTAATGTCCGAGTCTTTATCCATCCCTGAAATAATAAGATTGCTTTCGTTAATCTATAATAACATTAATGGTTCGAATTGTACTGTTCTAAATGCATTAAGTGCTTGAAGCCAAAATATCTGAAAAACGAAAACTCATTGAAAATTTGAGGAGCTGATAAAACGAAAAAGGACCAAAAGTATATAAACCTCAGTGAATATCAAATTACAAAATGTAAATTAGATAAAAAATTTACTTTTAAGGATAATCGCTCCTCTTGTTTTTGAATTTTTGAAAGATATTCGGAATTCTCTGGTTTTATCCATGTAGTGCAATTAAGAATTTTTTGCCCACGTGCCCCTACTTTTTTCCCATTATTTGATTACATATATTTTAAAATGCCATCGTTGAAAATCTTATAAATCCTTGTTATTTTTTCATAGTTTTTAAATGAAAAAAGGTACCAATGTTGAATGTATGACAAATCTAGAAAGAATCATTTCCCGCCAAATTTTCAATGGCTTATAGCTCGAAAACAAGCACACGGACCTTTCATTTTTTTCTGCTTTTTTAGTTACTTTATTCATATACTTTTAATCTATAACAGTCTTTTAAAAAGCTTGTTATTTTGAAACAGAGTAGCGAACATTCTTAAACTAAATTTAAAAATCAGGCATTTTGTTAGCTTGTATTATTTGAATATTAAGTACCTGTCTTTGTAAAAATCATGCAGAGGGTGATATATGACATGTCACAGGAGTAATTTTTTTGGCCCTATATCATAAGAACTTTGGTAGATAAGTAAAATTCTGTCTTTATTTTCCCTGTATATTGCCCGTTGCCATGGTAACCATCAAAACAACATTTTGCCTGAATATGTGAAAAAAGACCCTTTTGAAAATTTAAAATAAGGGATTGTAAAGTCCCATGGAAATTAGGTTAATCAATAAAAACAATTAGGGTTTTTACATTGTTAATAAACAAAATACCAAACTATTAAAAAACGTTAAAATTTTAAATTTACCAAATAGTTTGTTTCCATAGCAACCATTTCAAAATGTGTTAAAATTCGAAAATGAAAAATTTCAAAAACTCCTAAATTTTAAATCTGTTTATCTTCCAAGACCAACAATACCATGATATTTCATTGACAAATTTTGAAAAACATCGTTCCATATATTCATAAAACAAAAAGAAAGTCGTGTTGTTTTTTTTCTATAAAAAAATAATTTTAGTCGAAAATTGTCAATTTTCACCAAAATTCTGATTGCCAAACAGATGAATAATCAAACATTTTGAACTTAAAAAGCTAAATCATTCCATTTATATGTGCATTTTTGACACAAATTTAGTAATTATAAATGAGAATATATTATTTATAGCGATATGTTGGTAGAGAATGAAACTTTTCTCTCTGGGCATGGTGCCCCCCTCCCCTTTTTTAAAAAAAAAAAATCATTTTTTTTAAATTATAAAATTTTATCAAAAATTAAAAGAAAGATGGTATTAAATTCTGAACATTTTGAGCATTGAAGCATGAAATTTCTTCAAAGGCTTAGGGCAATGATAGTACCTCCTTCCCCATATTTAGATATTAGATTTTTTTTCAGAAATGGGGAATGTGTCAAAGAGACAACAATTTAACCAAACAACAGAAAACAGCCGAAAGGCTGATGACTGAATGAAGGATTGCTGCGTCCCTAAATACATGAAATACACTTGTTTTATGCAAATTGAAATTTTTAGATGTTATTTCATGGTCTTGAAAATAAGCCTCTGTCCAAGTTTTATTTCAGTCTATGTCAAAAAAACTTAGTCTCAGACTGTCTTTAAATTTTAACTCTAAATAAGAGGCTCTCAAGAGCCTGAATCGATCACCTGAAATTTTTTGGTTAAATCTTTCATCAATAATTATTAATGCTTTTCAATATATATCAATGAGTGGCTTAAAAATTCCATTTAAATGTTCTTTGTATCTGTCATACTGTCTTCAAAAGCAAAAAAATGCATTTTACCCCTACGTTCCATTTTAGCCATAGTGGCTATGTTCCTTGAATTACAAGGAAATAAGATACAAAATTTATACTAAATACTCCCAAGTTTGGCTGAAATTGATTCAGCAGTTTCAGGAGAAGATTTTTAAAGTAAGCAAACTAGATGAACAAATTGTGAAAAAATTCTTTGAAGGGCAATAACTCCTTAAGGGGTCAATTGACAATTTTGGTTATTAAACTTATTTGAAGATCTTACTTTGCTGAACTTTTTTGCTGTTTACAGTTTATCTTGGTCATTAATAATATTCAAGATAATAAACAAAAACTGAAAAATTTCCTTATAATTACCAATTTAGTCGCAGCAACCCAACAATGGGTTGTTAGATTCATCTGAAAATTTTAGGGCTGATAGAACTTGACCTAATAAACATGTTTACCTACACCAGATTTGCTCTAAATGCTTTAGTGTTTGAGATGTAAGCCAAAAACTGCATTTTACCCCTATGTTCTATTTTTAGCCATGGCGGCCATATTTTTTGACACAATAAAAAATAAAACACAAACTTTATTCTAGATATCCTAAGGATCATTCAGCTTAAGTTTGGCTGGAATTGGTTCAGTGGATTCAGAGGAGATGTTTGAAATAGTTAACACCGGACCGACGACGACGGACGCCAAGTGATGGAACGGTGAACTAAATACTACGTCCGTTCTATCAGAAATATACTGAAAATGAAAAATAAACAACTTGTACCCTCGAAAGCGCTAACGAGGCCACTTTCCATAAATTTAATATTTTTAGGTGTAATAACTCTTAAAAAGTCGATTGGCCACCAATATATAACATGTTTGAGATGTTGCTTATATTAATCTAAAGTATTAGTTTCGTAAAAATCTGAGAAGATTTGTACATGTGAGAGCGCTGCAAGGACCGGACAGACAGACAGACAGACATACGGACAGCAAAAAAATCGGTCTTTTGTCTTAAATCAGTGGGTTTGATAAGAAAATAACACTCTGTAAAAATTAGGCCAATGGGACAGTTATTAAGTTTGGTACAGTGTTCCAATTTCATTATATATGGAAAATTTAATACATTGCCTTGTATTCGTTTCTTTTGTTGACTAGTATACTATTGCGCAGAGTCAGATTATGTACACATAATGGCTGTTACTATTTACCTCCCATGTAATTCGACATGTATCGAAACCTTTATGCAAACACTTATTTGTCACTATGTCGATTTAACTGTGTCAAAATTGAAATTGAAGAAGAACTACAGAACCGTTCTTTCTATTCTAATATATATAATGAATCTAACTTATGCAAAAGAGCTTGAAGTAAATGCGGAATGTGTCCAGTGGACACAGATGATGCTCCCGCTCGCATATCATAAAAGTTATAAATGGACATAACTGAAGAACGGTAAAAGTGACACTAACCAAATGTGTACTTTATGTAAGTTTTGTGGTCATAAGTTTTGTGTAAAAGTTTCATAATATTTGGTTAAGGCAAACTAAAGAAAGAAAAAAGAAACGAAAAATTCAGCAACTTTTTCCCTTCGTAAAGAGGCATGGCTCTAGAACAGTAAAAGTGACACTTGTACTGTTAATGAGTTATGACCCTTTAAAAATGGAAAAATTGCTGAACTTTTCGTTTCCGTTCTCTCTCTTTCGTCTGTCTGACATAGTTCATCTTACCCTGACCTCATTTTCTTAGAACATTGATAATGTTAGGTTAATATGATACTTGTATTAAAATCTTTATATAACAGAGTTTCAAAAGTAATTCATTGATAAATAAAACCGACCAGACATTTCAGGGTGTGCATTCTTGTTTAGCAGATCTAAGTCTAGGGCAATTTTTTTTTAAATTGTTCATTAAGATTTGTTTTACAGACACTCATGTAATGCTCATTGTTGAAGGCTGTACGATGACCTGTGGTTGATCATTTCTATGTCATTTGGTCTCTTGCGGAGAGTTGTCTCATTGGCAATTACAACACATCCTCTAATTTTTATGCATAGACTTAAATGTTTTTGGAGTTCAATATTATTATTCTTTTTCACTAACAGCATCAATCACAGGCACGACAACGGGTTATGCGTATTACCATTTTTTTCAAACTTCTGAGAAATCTTACATATATCTATAGAAGTAATGTTATGCTTAAATTCTTAAAACGCTTAGTTCACAAGTAAACACAATAAGATTCCACATTTTTTTCAACAAATTTTATAATTCAAAAAAAAGGGGGGGTGCACCATACCCAGAGTGATGAGTTTTCGTTTTGTACAAGTATATCTTCATTAATCATATATTCTAGTTTAAAATTAAAAAATGTGTGTCAGAATTGCACATACAAATGGAATATTTTAACTTTTTAAGTTCAAAATGTTTGATTATTCATCTGTTTTGTAATCTGAATTTTGGTGAAAATTGACAATTTTTTACTAAAATTATTTTTTTAAAGAAAAAAAACACGCGACTTTCTTTTTATTTTATAAATATATAGAATATTGTCTTTCAAAATTTGTCACTGACATGTAATTGTATGGTTGGTCTTGGGAGATAAACAGATTTAAAATTTAGGAGTTTTTGAAATTTTTCATTTTCGAATTTTAACACATTTTTAAATGGTTGCTATGGAAACAAACTATGTAGTAAATTCAAAATTTTAACGTTTTTGTATAGTTTGGGGTCTTGTTTGTCAATATTGTAAATATATTTATTGTTTGTATTGATTAACTTTATTTCAATGGTTCTTTAAAATCCCTTATATTTCAATTTTCAAAGGCTACTTTTTTACGTATTTTTAGCAAAATTTTGTAAGGATGGTTTCCATGGCAACCAAGGTTCAAAATAAAAAAATTAATATATGAAACTTATTTTCATACCATACCTTCTTCATAAACAAAATATAAAGACATTTGAAGAGAGGTCATGAATCGCCCATCAACAGGAACCTGCATGATTCTTACAAAGACAGGTACTTAAACATGCATAACTGGTCACAGAAAATTGTTTTTATTTGTACAGACTATATAGAAAATGCATGTCATCAATTCATTATCATAATGGCTATTTATATAAAGTTGTAGTTTGGCTATGCACACACTTTTCCATTCCAAAGCATACAAAAACGTTGATACAATACAAGGAAAATCGAGAAATTTACAAATATCACGGTTACATTCTGGGGAATTCGTGAAATGTGAATTGAATTAATTTAAAATGATTACCTTGAAATTTGGCAATGCCGTTTTAATTTAAGGCATTAATTGTAATTTTCAATTTTACACAACATTTGAACGAAATACCAGATTCAGCTATTAATTAAAGGACATATTAATATAGATCATATATCGATGAGACAATAATGATCGATAGGTAAATATCTAAAGCTTTAACAGGTCTATTAAAAACATGTCCAACTTTAAACCCCCACAAGAAGATAGGACAAGAAACGATCGGTAATGATGTACTTGATAGGAACATGAATAAGATGTTTTCAAAACACATTGATTTAGAACAAAATTTTTGGTTCGTTTTCTGCATAGGAACAGGAACTGCCCACATGTCTGAATTCACGACATTTTTGGGGGTAGGGTTCATGGCACTTATCTTACATTTTGTGTCTAGTGTTGAATTGACTGTACACTATAAATCATTATTTTGTTTAGACCTCCCAATTAATCTCTTATATATTGATCATAGTACATATCTACACATACATTCATGTGTGGTTACTCATCTTGAGCATGATTTTGACATATTCAAACAAGAGTGATACATTATGAACTTAATTCGAGAAACATATCATGTGTACACCTAAAATCATATCCTTTAGTTTTTTTAACTTACCCTAACTGGCAACATTTGTTCGCACAGCATGAAGATTCATTGTCAAGAAATTCACCACAATCATACCCCGTACAAGTGCCATCACAGTCATCTTTACCTGTAAAATTATCAAATGGGGTTCAAGTACATTTTTTCGCAATATTACAAACAATATTTACTCAATGTATAGCAAAGTATATTTTTACTGTTGTTTGACTTTTTATCTTTCATCTGCTGTTACGTCTATCGTTTTGCAACTAAAAGTTTTTAATTTCCCTTTCATGTATTTTCATTTTGTATTAACAAAATTGATCTGACGACCGTAAAACATTTGACGCCGTGCTCTTAATTCTATCAAGTTAATTTTATAACATTAAAGGTACCTGTTTTTACTGCTTCAGATGCGCATTTCTACAATTAATGTCTCCTCAATGATATTGGAGACCATAAGATTTGAAAATTCTAAATCGAAATACATTTGTGGAGAGGTATTATCATCGTAAATGACCATTAGTATAGCAAAACCTGGACTTGGATTCAGAGCTGTGTATAAAAGAGATTCTTTTTTTAAAATCAAAATAGTGTTCTAAAAATTATAGCAGATTTCAATAAAAACAATACATCCATACTGTCATGCCAGTACAAAACTATTGAGCTTCCGGGCTGATGAAACCCTTGGGGATAGCAGCCAACCAGTAGATGTATCACATAAATGATTTATAATGTTGTACCAATATCCATGATATTAGCCTATTTATTTTTAACTCTTTTTTTCAAACGTCCTTGCGTAAATCCGATAAAATAGGATAGGTCATGTTATTCTCAGATTCCTGATTAGATGGTAGAAGTTTTCGTATTCATCTTTTTGTTTTCTTACCATTCTATGGCTAATGAACCCTTGAATATTTTGCACTTATAAAGTGAAAGTAGAATTGTGAAGTGCATGTAGTCTGATGAACATAAACATGATTATTTTTTGTTGTTGACAAACTTGAACTGACGACCGTATAACATTTGATGCCAGGCTCTTAGCCCTATCATGATTTCATTGTGTATTTAACTTAAATTACTAGTAATAATAATTAACAGTACCAGTTTTTACTGACCAGATGCACATTTATACAATTAACGTCTGTTTGGTGATGTTTGAGACCAACAGATTTGAACGTTCTTAAAGAGCTAATATAACCGAAAAGTAATAGAAATAATAATAAAGCCAAATTAGGAGAAGAACTCACAGCTATGCATTAGGGAGTTACATTTCTTGAATTAAAAGTTGGTTTATAAAAGTTATAACAGCAATGTATAAATAAAAAATAACAATAGTAATACAGTACATCATGGGATACTGGGATGGTGAAACCCTCAGGGACTAGCAGTCAACTAGCATGCTTATCATGCAAAGCGTTTATGATTATGTACCAATATCAGCCTTTTTACATTAAACTCCTTGTTAAAACGTTCTCCCCTACCACCCATTAAATGAGGATAGGTTTTGTTATTCTCAACACGTTCTCCCCTACCACCCATTAAATAAGGATAGGTTTTGTTATTCTCAACACGTTCTCCCCTACCACCCATTAAATACGGATAGGTTTTGTTATTCTCAACACGTTCTCCCGTACTACCCATTAAAAAAGATAGGTTTTGTTATTCTCAACACGTTCTCCCCTACTACCCATTAAAAAGATAGGTTTTGTTATTCTCAACACGTTCTCCCCTACCACCCATTGAATGGGATAGGTTTTCTTATTCTCAACACGTTCTCCCCTACTACCCATTAAAAAAGATAGGTTTTGTTATTCTCAACACGTTCTCCCCTACCACCCATTAAATGGGGATAGGTTTTGTTATTTTCAACACGTTCTCCCCTACCACCCATTAAATACGGATAGCTTTTGTTATTTTCAACACGTTCTCCCCTACCACCCATTAAATACGGAAAGGTTTTGTTATTTTCAACACGTTCTCCCCTACTACCCATTAAATGAGGATAGGTTTTGTTATTCTCAACACGTTCTCCCCTACCACCCATTAAATAAGGATAGGTTTTGTTATTCTCAACACGTTCTCCCCTACCACCCATTAAATACGGATAGGTTTTGTTATTTTCAACACGTTCTCCCCTACTACCCATTAAAAAAGATAGGTTTTGTTATTCTCAACACGTTCTCCCCTACTACCCATTAAAAAAGATAGGTTTTGTTATTCTCAACACGTTCTCCCCTACCACCCATTAAATACGGAAAGGTTTTGTTATTTTCAACACGTTCTCCCCTACTACCCATTTAATGAGGATAGGTTTTGTTATTCTCAACACGTTCTCCCCTACCACCCATTAAATACGGAAAGGTTTTGTTATTTTCAACACGTTCTCCCCTACTACCCATTAAATGAGGATAGGTTTTGTTATTCTCAACACGTTCTCCCCTACCACCCATTAAATAAGGATAGGTTTTGTTATTCTCAACACTTTCTCCCCTACCACCCATTAAATACGGATAGTTTTTGTTATTTTCAACACGTTCTCCCCTACTACCCATTAAAAAAGATAGGTTTTGTTATTCTCAACACGTTCTCCCCTACTACCCATTAAAAAAGATAGGTTTTGTTATTCTCAACACGTTCTCCCCTACCACCCATTAAATGGGGATAGGTTTTGTTATTTTCAACACGTTCTCCCCTACCACCCATTAAATACGGATAGGTTTTGTTATTCTCAACACGTTCTCCCCTACCAGCCATTAAATACGGATAGGTTTTGTTATTCTCAACACGTTCTCCCCTACCACCCATTAAATGAGGATAGGTTTTGTTATTCTCAACACGTTCTCCCCTACCACCCATTAAATGGGGATAGGTTTTAATATTCTCAACACGTTCTCCCCTACCACCCATTAAATAAGGATAGGTTTTGTTGATCTCCTATTCCTTATTCGAGGATAGCAGTTATCATAATCATCTTTTTTTCAAACGTTTTATAATATTTTATAAATGACGACCTTATATTGAATATTATTTGGGGCTGGTTAACGAAAAAGAACTGTTATGTGCATGTATTAATGACATTTATTTTTTCTGGGACAACGACATAGGATCATGGATGACCTGAGGCCGATTCTTTTGGGGCGTGTGAGAACTTAAAGACGTACCGACAAACCTATAAATATTACGGTAACAATACAGGGGGTGGATCAAGCCATTTTAAAAGGAGGTTCCCAACCCAGGATAAGGGGGGGGGGGGGTTCCGACCATATGTCTTCATTCAAAAGCATTGATCGTCAAAACAAAGGAGTGGTTCCAACACCTGGACCCCCTCCCCTCCACCACTGCAATTTTACTTTCTACAGTTTTGCTTAATTGTTTTGTAAAGTAAATATATTGATGATAGAAATTTCCAATACTATGTCATTAGCTATATAAAAGCAGTTTAAACATTTCAAATAAATTTAAAATGTTGACAATTGAATCCTTTATTGCAAAATCGCCAATTTACTGAAAAGAAAAAAATATTGTAGAATTTGAAGAACAATTTTTTTTCCAGTTTTCAAATGGAATGAAGAGAAGAAAGTAGGTTTTTATCCAAACATAATGCAAAAACTTTTCAGGGATTTAACTGGAAGGTGAAAGAAAACACTTAAATATGATATATTTAAAGAAGTAAACGTAGATGTGACAGCAACCTAACGATATAAATTAACGTCATATATAAAAGTTAATCCTTTTTTGTTGAATCAGTTATTCAAAGTTTTTATTAAGTTTTGCATTTATTTGGAAATATTTGGCACCAAGCATCACTGAAGATACATTATTTATCGAAATGGCCATCTGATGTAGTTACATTTGTACCTCTTATTGTCTTATTTATGCATTATCTAATGAATTCGTCTGTCGTCTGTCGAACTTTATATTGGTGAATGATCTTCTAATTGAATACAGTAGTTGATTTTATTGTGTGCAGTGTGTAGGATTTGACAATTGAGTCTAACTATTCATGCTGTTTACTGACTTTCTGCTCTGTAAAACAAATAAATTCGTTTTTGATTTCACTAAACAAGAATTTCGTATTTAAATTTGATTATTTCTCGATTTATAATAATTCACAGTCATTGATAGTAAATAATGCCAATGTAAACACCCCGGTGTTCTTTCAACATAATGTAGACAAAATAGACCGCCTGACTTATGAAATGAACTACGGCGATAAATCAATCAAAGCCTTTCAAATTACCTTGTTTATATCTTTAATAAAAAATAAATTATTATATTTAAATATTAAACGAATCATAAATTTAAATTGTACAATACAATATTATATAAAGATGGTACAAATAAATAGATTGATTACAACATCACATTAACAAGGGAGGTTACTACTTTTAAAAACGTATAAGAAAACTACCCCGGTCGTTAAAGTATACATGCACAGTCACTGTCAGATCTTTAATCGAAGATAATGTCGACGGATGCAAAAGACTTTATCAATCTGAACAATAAGGGTGCGTGATCTTTACTTTTAAATTTAGAAAGGTTGATCTCAGATGATTAGAACTCATGACCAAGGTCCGTTATACGAACATTCAGGACGATAATGTGTTTTGCTTGATCAATTGATTGAAAAACAAATTTCCGCAATTTCACAATTCAAACCGGGATTAGCATTCAATCATTTTGCCATTCGGAGCCTACTCGGTATTAGTTTTACTTATTTTTGAAAGCTATATGGTGACCTTAACTAGAGCCTGGGTGTGGATGGGGTTTACGGAATAGAGAATAGTGGGCAAAAAATATGAATAATAGAGACAATGGACCAAGAAATAAATTAAAAAAATAGAATAATGAGGTGTTAAAATATAGAGAACAGAATAATTGGCAAAAAGTATAAAGAAATAAAGAATAGAGAAAAATGGCCTGAAACACTGATTAAAGAATAGAGAAAATCGGCATAGAATATCAAAGAATACAGAAATGGAAAACCCCGTATCCAGACCATCATCCTAGTTGCCTAAACCAACGTTATTTTGTCTCCGGTAGATTGTTATTGGTTATCATACTTTTATTTTTATTTCTATGCCTATCAATTAAGACGTGAGCTTTCATAATTTGCCAGCTTATTAC